GTGATCGGGCGGCGGCGAGGACGAGGATGAGTAAAGACTAGGATGAGCGGATGCGGGGATGCAGAGATGCGGATGCGGGGATCAGCGGGGCAGCAAGGATCAGCAAGGATCAGCAAGGATCAGCAAGGATCAGCAAGGATCAGCGGGGCAGCAAGGATCAGCAAGGATCAGCGGGGCAGCAAGGATCAGCCTTCTGAACATACCAAATCATACTACTGCCTACTACACTCGTTCAATTGAACAGACAATGAACAATATATGGATTCAGAATATATGATATTATTCTTTTGTAAAATATTATACATTACACGTTCAAGAATATTTTTTGATTAATCTATTATGACATTGAGAAGGAGTRTAAGATGAGATATAGTGGCTTTAACTCGTATATTAAATTRWATKCTGAAACCAGTTTATGTAACGGCCAAAGAGTACTGTTTCTTCATTAGACCCTGTTACATTCATTTCCGTTTAAATCACTACATGGTTACCTGGCATTGTTGTATTGCACTTAGAATACTCATACTAATGATCGTATTTAATTTCGACCAAAACCAACTTTTATTTTTGGTGTATTCTTTTTTTTTTTTAAATAGGTATAAAAAATAAGATTTATTTCTTCTCTATAATTTTAACAAAATACGTTGAGGACAAAAATAATTTAAAATTTTTTTCACAATTTTTTTCATTTTTTTAGATAACTTTCTTTTTTTCTATTTTGATTTTCAAACTTTATTCAAATGAATATTCTTTGACAAATATAAGTCTTAACCACTTTTTGCATTGCTTCATTTTGGTAATGTAATCGTCTAAATAATCGTCTTGATGATATATTTTTGGATTGGAAAACGGTATAAATAGGCATGGATTATATTTTACACCTATATATATAAAAATATATATTTTATATTAACTTTATCTTGTCGTTGAGTGGTACAGCGAATACTGTAAAATAGACTGGCATATAATTTACTATAATAATATTGATAGTGTATTGGTACTTTTATTAAACTTACGGATATAATATTGATTATTCATAAATTCGTGAAATAAAACAACAATTTGACGAATAAATAGAAGTGTGAAACGTAAAACCATAAAAAATAAATAAAGAATACCGAACGGAAAACTAAAAACGCAACGACCATTTGATTTTGGTATATTGCCTACGTTAACTACGAATTTAGTAACTAAAGAATTAAAAAAAATTGCAGATGATAACGAAATGTCTTTGTTACATATTTACCAAAGTATTTTGAAGTCCATTGGACTGAATTTACCTATGAATTATTTTACGGAATTATATAAAGCGGGTACATTTTAGTATGTTATTTTAATAGGAAAAAAGAAGAAGGCATAGTCAAAGAAAAATCGGTAGCAGCTGGGTTCTTAACATTTTTGACTGATTTTTAATAAATAAAAACTCTTATGTTTTCTAACAGATCTGGGTTATATTTATGGAAGATTTCAGAAACAAATTAAATCAAATGAGACCTTAATTTTTGATGTGGAAGACAAAATAGATGGTGTTATAAAAATTATTAGTCAAATGAAAGAATCGTACCTTGGTGGAGGTTGGGAAGATATTATTATTAGCACTACAAATGTGTCATATATTTCTAACAATGAAAAAGACACAACAACATATATATGCTTAAAGGGTTCCAGCTGTTCGACTATATTTCAAATTCTAAATTAAAAATTATCTATTTTAAACTTAATATGCCTATATTGAGGGAATTAAACCCTCATAATGCAGTACTAGAATGGCTTAAGTATACCTTAATAATAAGGTGTACTTTAATACCACTGATATAATAATCAGTTAGGTTAAATAAATCATAGAAAACCAAAAAATAATATTTCGTTTATTGCACTTTTCAGGTTCATATTTATGCAACCAAACAAAAATGGTTGAGGGGAGTTTTTTCAGAAGCATAATTTGATATGTTAAATATAATTAATACAGAAATAAGTACAACTGAATGATTATATTATTTTTAATACCTACTTATAAGTTTATGGTGAATATTGGAACATATTTTTGTGCATTTTGAGTTAAATTTTGACCCTTTTGGTTTGCATGTTTACCACTTTTTTCGTGCAAATAATTTAGGTCACTTATTGTTAWTGATAGTAATTTATGGCATTAAAATTAAATGAAACGTAATACAATTCACAAAAATACAAAACAATGTATTAAATGGAAAATATGGTAATTCTAATATAGGTATATTATAATAATAATAATAATCAATAAAGGCAATTTATCACATTATTTGAAATAAAAAAAGAATAGGTATAAAAAATAAGATTTTTTTCTTCTCTATAATTTTAACAAAATACATTGAGGACAAAAATAATTTAAAATTTATTTCATTTTTTTCAGTGGCACCCACATGTTATACCTGAAGTGGCTTAAGCCACACTTATTTTTGGGGTGGGTGCCTGGTAGCATTTGGAAGTTGGACTTGGAACACTTTAATCTTTCGATTTAATAATTTATAATATTAATACATAATATTATAAATTTTAATTAGTATAAGATGTTACTAATTACTAATAACTAATTGTTGATTTATAATATATTTAGAATAATGAAATGAATATAGATACAACAAGTGAACAAGATATAATAAATTAATAACACATTAAATACATATTATATATACATCTAGATCTAGTGATAATTTATTTTTAGACATTAGACAACGGCTGACCAACTATTTTCCCTCATTCTATAACTGTCATTAATAATTATCATTTTGCCATTTTGGCTTGGCGGTGGTGGTCGAATGTCGACAATCGATAACAAAACAAGTAGGTATTGAATGTTATTTTTAAAAACGTATTGGGATTTTGGTATAATTATATTATCATAATATTATTTACAATCAGTCAACCAGACGTCCAGCCGTCCAGCGGGACTACCATAGACAAGTATATACACCAGAGTGCAGACTAATATGTAATGTGTATTGTTTTATTGTAATATTGAATATTGTCCATAGTCCTGAGACCACATTATGTTTACTAGTTTACTACTACTTAGTACTTAACGCTATTTTTTATAGAGCTTATTTTAGTAAATGTGTGCCGTGTCTATGTGGCTTTTACAATAAATGCGTTTAATAGTTTAACGTATTAAAATGTGTAGTTGAAAAACAAAAAATTTGAATTTTCTGTGTTATTTAAAACAGTGAGTGGTGATCGGTAAGTAAAAGTTATTATTCATTAATATCCAAATGTATTAATCAAAGTTTCAAATATTAAATATTAATGGCTTATGGATTTCGTATATTTTAAAGTAAATTTGCGAACAATGAAAAATTGCGAAATTTGTGGACGTGAAAGAGGAGACATGAATCCTACAAATTGGAACAGACATGTGAAAAGCTGTAGGTTAAAAACTAGTGTAGCACCTAAACCAAAAAGAAATTTAAACAATACTTCAATAAAAGAATTCTTCAACAAGAAAATAAAATTAGAAAGAATTGGTAAGCTTAAATTCATTATGATGTTCATAATATATTATATTTACTATTTAGGTATCATTAATTCATTAAAATATCAATATGTATGTTCTACAAAATTTACTCTAATTTTAAGACACATGCTAAACTTTAAATGGTTTCACCTACATCATTACAATTTTTATATATTTATTTTATTTTAGGTATAGGTGTATTTTACGCTATTTTCTCTTATCACATTCAAGTGTGTTATTTTTATTTTTAAATAGCCCTAAAATTCATACTTTACTTACAAGTATGGCTGAGATTTCAATGCCTTAAAAAAATATCGAAAATGCCCCTAAAAAATGCAAAACTAATATTAAATTAAATATAAGAAGCTTAAAAAATTAAATTAAATTAACATATTACAAGAATATTTTTGTTTTAATGGTATTTTATGCAAAAAGTATTAGCAATAGTATTAGTATATTAATATAAATTTAAAATACAATTTACGAGAACTGGTAAAATTATCATATAATTAAATTGAGATACATTTTTGTACTTTAAATTTGAATATTTTCATTTAGGAGCTACAAATAGTAATGGCAATACTGAAAACGAAGAAAATAATCAAGCTTGTCCTTCTGTTCTGAATAGAATTGATGATCAATATGAACAATCTATGTCAATTTGTAAGATTTTCATATAGTTAAATTGCGATACATTTTTGTAATTTAAATTTTAATATTTTCATTTAGGTGCTACAAGTAATAATGACCATACCGTAAATGTAGAAAATAATGAAACTTGTTCTTCTATTCTGAATAGAATTCATGATCAATATGAACAATCTATGTCAACTGGTAAGATTTACTTACTTTATAGTAATTCGGAGAGTATCATTAATTAATTAAAATATCAATATGTTCTACAAAATTTACTCTAATTTAAATATTTGAAGACACCATGCTAAACTTTAAACGGTTTCACGTACATCAATTTTTCACCATTTCATCATTATTATTTTAAATAGCCCTAAATATCATACTTTACTTACAAGTAGGGCTGAGATTTCAATGCCTTAAAAAATATCAAAAATGCCCCTAAAAAATGCAAAACTAATATTAAATTAAATATGAGAAATTGAGAAGCTTAAAAAATTAAATTAAATTAATATATTACAAGAATATTTTTGTTTTAATAGTATTTTATGCAACAAGTATTAGCAATAGTATTAGTATATTAATATAAATTTAAAATACAATTTACGAGAACTGGTAAAATTATCATATAATTATATGTATTTATTCTTTATTCATATTAGTATATTTATATTTAATTATTTTACATGTATTAATACACACAACTGACATAATTTGTATCAGGTATTGTTAAAATTATTAATTATAATAAATAGTTTTTAATTTATACCTATATTAATATGCTATAACCATCATACAAATATTCAGTTGCTTGCTTGTTAATTTAGAACATACTTTTTTTTTGATTTCAGAAAATATTATTTTTCAAGAAACGTTATGTATTTCAACTTCAACACAATCTAATATGATATATGAAAATGATCCAGCTAAATTTCATACATTTACCAATGTTACACCAGAGTTTACTGACATGTTGGTACGAAAAGGGCCTTGTCAACCTACAAATAATATTTTTAAGTTTCCAACAAATGAGGAACACAGAAGTTTTCAAGAGTCGTGGTTTACAAAAAAATTAAATGATGGGACTTTGGTTAATAGAGATTGGTTATCATATTCTATTTCTACAGACAATATGTTTTGTTTTCATTGTCAGATGTATGGTAAAACAAAAAGAGACAACTGGATCATTAATGGTGTAAGTAAATGGAAAAATGCATTACATAAAATTTTAGTTCATGAAACGTCGACAAATCATATAGATGCGTCTTTGAAATTTAAATTGAGAAATCAAGTGTTACCCATTCTTCCATCACTGACTGAAAAAAGAAAATTTGAAGTCCTCTGTAATCGTGGAATTGTAAAAGAACTCATTGACATCACTTTTCGTGGTCATCGTGAAAAATGGTCAGATTCATTGCGTGGAAATTTCAAAGATTTAGTAGAACTTGTTTCAAACTATTCCCCTACAATGGCACCATATATTTCAAATTTAAAAAATAAAAATAATAAACCTCAGTGGTCTTTCATATCATGGCGGATACAAAATGAACTCATAGAATGTATATCAGATGATATTGTCGGAATCATATCTAAAAGTATAAAGGATTCTCCTTTCTTTAGTGTTTCACTTGATACAACATTTGATGTATCTCGAAAAGAACAATTGTCGTTTATTGTTCGTTACATCGATAAAAACTCTGGCAGTATTTATGAACGTCTAATAGCTGTCCTGGAAACACCTATAACAACAGGTCATGAATTAATGTTAATGTTAATGTTAATTAATGTCTTTAAATAAACATGTGATTTGTTGAACTTAGATTGGAAAAATCATCTTGTTGGCCAATCTTATGATGATGCTGCCAATATGAGGGGTAATTATAATGGTCTTCAAAGTTTAATCAAGGAAATAAATCCTCATGCTATTTATGTATGGTGTTGGGCACACCGATTAAACTTGGTGATTACTGATGTTGTAAGTTCAGGTGTTAATGCAATGGATATGTTTGGAAATTTAGAAAAAATGATATGATCTAATTAATTCAAGTAAAATTAGAGTTAAGTATTATGAACAATTTCAAAAAGAAAGATATAAGAAGAAACAAATTCGTCGAACAAAACATGTGACAACTACACGTTGGATGTCATTTTCATATGCACTGGACGTGGTTTTGAGTACATATTTAGCTGCAATAGACACATTAGAAATAATCCGAAGTAAAGATGGACCCGGTGATAGAAAAACTGGATTTGAAGCTGGAGCTATAAATGATTATAAAAGGTCTTATCGCTTTGTATGGACAGCTTTGACATTTAAAAAGTTATTTGATATACTATCACCAACCAGCTCTATATTGCAAAGCAAAGATCTAGATCTGATGTTAGCTGTTTCAATGATTGAACAAAATAAAATAAAAATATCAACACTTCGATCTGATGAGAGTTTTGAACATTTATCTCAAGAAGTAGATGTTTTTTTCTTAGAACAAGGAGATGAAAATGAAGAATTAATTCAATTGCCCACTCCTCGTTTACGTAAGAAAAAAAAAATGCCTGGTGAACTTTCGGATGACGAACTTATTTTAGATCCTATTCAAAACATAAAAGTGAACACATATTTTTCTGCACTAGACATAGTACAAAGACAGTTGTCCGAACGTTTCAATGATGAATCAATTGGTGTTCTTAAGGATCTATCACTTCTTACAAGTAAAGTAATTTTTAAAATAAATCAAGATCCTAATTTTTTACCAAAAGATAGTTTTAAGTTCTTTTTAGAAATATATGGAAAGTTTGTTGATGAAAAATATCTTTGTTTAGAGTACTTACAATTTGCTTCAATTTTTGATACTCTTATAACGTCGAAAGCTTTACCAAACGCCTTACATAGTAAATGTGAAGAAATATTTGGGAGTGAATCTGAACCTGAAAGCGATGATGGAAGTGACAAAGAAGATACTACTTCAAAAAATATTGTATCAAACATTAAAAACAATTCGGGAAGTTTACAACCTATTTTTCAAATATTTTTAAATAAAGGTTTAATATCTGTATTCCCAAATGTGTATACAATGTTAAAGATAGGATTGACGTTACCGGTTACTAGTGCTAGTCCTGAAAGAGCGTTTTCTAAGCTAAAAATTGTGAAGAATCGACTTCATTCTACTATGGGACAAGAGAGATTACAAGGATTAATGAGAATAACCTGTGAAAAAGATATAACTATAAATTACGAAAATATCATTAACAACTTTGCATCTAAAAGTCCTCATCTAAAAAAAGCATTAATATTGTAAATTATAATATTTTTTTTACCCTGTTTTATACCTACTATATTGCATTCAAAATTTCAAAATATAATTTACAATTATTCTAATATTAATATATATATATTATGAAAATAAATTATTAATATATATATATATATTATGATAATAAACTATTAAAATATTATACATTTGAAATTGAAGTACACAAATAAATATTTTTGTGACTAATACTAGCCTAGTATATTCTATTATAATCAAACATTTTTTAACAAGTACATTAAATGTATATTTTTTTATTTGACCATAATAATAATAAGTTGTAAAATTAATAATTTGAATTTGAATTTACTATTTATTAAGCTATACGATATCTATAAAAACAATGTATTGCAAAAATATTTTTTCAAAGAGAACAAACGTGTATTGGTATATTATTTGGAGTGGTAGGTATGCTAAAAAATATTTAGGCCATTAAGCCCCTCTTATTATAAAACCTCTTTGCGCCACTGATTTTTTTAGATAACTTTCTTTTTTTCTATTTTGATTTTCAAACTTTATTCTAATGAATATTCTTTGACAAATATAAGTTTTAGCCACATTTTGCATTGCTCATTTTGGCAATGCAATCGTTTAAACATCATTCTTAACAATCTTGATGATATATTTTTGGATTGGAAAATAGTATAAAMATGTATGTATTATATTTACACCTATGCATATAAAAATACATATTTTATATTAACTTTATCTTGTCTTTGATTGGTACAGCGAATACTATAAGATAGACACGCATATAATATA